GCATGATAATCACATTTACGCTTTTCCAAATCCCATAAGCTCTCAACACAAACGACTAAGAGTCTAGTCGGAACTGACTGACTGAGAGATACCAAGAAGAGAGAGAGAGAAAGAGAGATATCACAGCATCTGGAACCTTCAGATATGACAAAATATTATATATTTTACTATATAAGGTATCAAAGAATATGTGTTTTAATTTTCAAGTATATCGCTTTTGTAGTTCACGAGATCGATGTATTTATAGAGTTTACTGAAAAGAATATAGAGAAAGTATATTGGCTAAATCAATGCAACTTCGCAACCTGAACCAGAATAAATGTATTTAATGGACTAGTCCAAAACTCCTTACACTTACCAAATGCCAATATACCCTTCTTCTGATAGAGTACAAAATTACGATGGCATCGACCAAAAACTCGTCGTGTCATTGAATATATATCATCTATATGCTATAATATTCCATCTAGATTTATTCTATCAGTTTTGTAAGTCATAATAACAAAGGATATCAATATATATTATATAAAGTGCTTTTACAGCGATGCAGCGCACAGAAACGGCTCAATTTAATGCAGCTTAAAGCGCACTAACACACAGACACAGACACAGATGGGGGAAATAGAGAAAAGGACAGGGCGAGAGTATGGAATTATTATTAAATATTAAATTTGATTATGCTCATTTGCATTGAAATTTATAATATTTAATGCAGAGGCGTATTTGGTATAAAGTTAATATCGAATCGGATATTTAAATTAATTGATATGGATTTGCTTTAAGTACATTATTAAACGTGTTCATTAAGAGATAAGAGAGTATATTGGTTTTGTAGTGAAGTTAAGGACAGGTAATATATATAAGGTAAAATATATAAGGGCTATCCTCAGATATCTTTGCTAGAGATTATTGAAATAATATATCCACTCTGATAACGAGTAAGGAGGATCCTTCTTCTTCCTTCTACCGTTAATGAGTATTGTGCAGTCGTTTCCATCCGATTATATTGTTCTTACTTGTTTTAATTGGCATTCAAATCAAATATTTCCACTTATACTTTTATGTGCACTTTGTTCTTTTCGCATTCGCTCTGTCTGTCCTTATTTGCCTTTCCCTTATGACTGTTCTCGGTTATTATTAGATTTTATGTGACAAATGTTGTAGGGGCCATTCTCTGCCAGCTTGGTCCAGCTTCAACAATAGCGTCTGCTTTCGTTCCTCCTGCCCCGAGTCCTGCCGCACGGCCCATGCCTAATGTAAATTAATTGCCCACACAAATTAGCTGGAAAAACAAAAATGTTTCGATTTGGGTGTAGCAAACAACAACAATAATATGTTGCTATCCTGTTGACCAACGTATAATGCGCAATTAAGTATGTGATGCACTTGTAGTAGACTAACAGGTACCCTGTAATTGCAAAGAAAACAAGCAAGAGGAAGTTAGGGTTGATAAGCTGAGCGCTGATGTGCGGTTCATGAAGTATATCTGAAGCCCTTATAGATGTAGTGCTAACATACTCTGTAAAAGTTAATAAGAAGTTTTGCATACATTGGACATACCCTGTATTTTAAATGACATTAGTTCAAATCTGAGCCCCTCACTCAATCCTATATATATCTTAACGCTTAGGATATCTGGTCTTAAGAGCCATTCCCTGAACCAATATACCCTTTTAGCTTAGCCTGTGTGAGCATTAAACAGCTCGCCGCTTGGCAGGTAAACAAAAGCTCGAACGTCGCTCGTTATTTTTAATCAGTTATCAAAATTTATCGCTTAAAATTTGTCGACAATTTTAGGGTGTGAGATCTGTGCGCTACATATATACCCATACATACATATATATGTATATATTGGAACAGCATAGAAGGCAAAGCGCAAAGCTCGTTATTGCTGCCATTTTGTGTTCATTTTAATTTTGTGTTTAACATTTTACGCGAGTTTAATGAAGTTCATCCCAGTTTTATCCTCCGCTGCCCGCTCGTATTGCATTTTCCGCACTTGTTTATTATGGAAAATATGTGTGTGGCTATGCCATGGGTGTGTGTGTGTGGCAAACATTAAAGTACATGGACAGCAGCTGAACCGGCGGCTATTCTAACTGAAAACAATGAGCGTTCATAAAACTAAGTTGAAAGGCCATTCGATACTTTTTGTGGGTCGAAACTGAGCCAACACTAGTAAAAACTTTGCGGTAGAGCGTAATTAACTTTGCAATACTTGTTGGCGGATAGAGCCTAAAGAGATGTTGTTTGGGTAGTACTCTGAGTATCTTCATGCTGACTGAGTTGATCTTTGATCCTTACTTTTCAGAATATGCTGTGAATGATGCATATCATTATCTGATAATCATCATTATCCAAAGTTTCTATCTCTTAACAAATGTATCACAATACTGCACACACTCTGCAACCCATATACTCTCTTTACACATCCCAAGCGGGCATTGCAAACTATTTGCCAAATGAGCAAACAGCCGTTGGCTCTGCTAAAATTCCGCTGGCATCGCAACGCAATTCAAGTGGGTTTTTCGATTTCTCATATTATTCGCATTGTTTGGCTCATCTCGAATTGCGGGCATCGATTTCAAGCACTTAAATAAGCAGCGAGATTGAAGCTTGTGCTAGATGAATTTCCATTTGCCAGGCTTAAATTAGAAATGCGCCACATGAATACATCGACTACATAGACTACATAGAATACATTCTGTGCATACTGTAAATTCTGGATTCCACCTGGCTTACCTGCTTGTACATTTTGATAACTAAAATAATTGAAAGCTCAACAGCCCGACGGCCAATCCCGGCCCAGCCCAGCCCGACGGCAATGACAACGTGGTCTGCCTCGCAATTAAAGTCGCCATGGCGAAGCCCTGGGATCGGGGGTACTAATGGAAATTGACGGGGGCAATAACATTTACTTAGCTCAACTCCCCGACGAACAGATTCAATTAGAAGCGAAAGCCATTTTATAATTGAAACAAGACTGACTGACTGCCTGCCACGCCCCCAGGCGAAAACGCCCACAATGGAAATAGCTACGAGAAGACAATAGAATAGAAAGAAACATCAATAAATATTCTGAAGGGGGCATAGCATGCAGCTAATGACAATGCTTAGCATGCTGTGGAGCTGTGGAGCTGTGGAACTGGGGAGTTGGGGTATATGATTATTCATTAGACGCCAAATCATGTAATTGAAAAGTTCCTTTCTTTTTTTTTTTTTGTCACAACTGCCAGAACTCACGTCATCATCAGCAGCATCCATCGCAAACATCATCTTCTGGCTTTTGAAGACAAAGCCCGTGGCTCAATTTGTCACTAAGGCGAGTGGGCGGTCGAAGGAAGCGAGGGGGGCGTGGCAGCAGTGTCTAGGCGTGGATACCCAGACAGATGATGCGTGTGACTAAGCAGAAAATTTTCAGCATTGGCTCCCCAGTTCCACGACAGACAACTCGCTGTCCCCAGTTGGAAGACAAACACCTTCCAGCCCCGCTCGCCTCCTCTTATCCTTCCTTTTGATTATGATTGAGTTGACGTCGTTAATATGTTATCGATGATGATTTGCGACTCTTCCACTTCTCCCTTCGACTCGAAGGGTCTCTGCTGTTTCTCTCACTGCGAGTCTCTGCCACGCGCTCGCGAATTGGCGGCTCCAGCAGCTCGAGTGATGCGGCGCGCTGCCTGGCAGCCTGACTGGTTGGCAGCTTGGCAGCTTGGCTGCTGGCTGCTGGCTGTTGGCTGTTTGTCTGCTGCTCCATTTAAATCAGTTACATTGCTCGCAATGTCAACACAAATACACACAGGAGACACACACTCACACTCACACCTATACAGCCATCCGCACACACATGTGTACTTTCATTTTGTTATTTGTCTTTTGAATTATTAATGAATCTGCTGAATGGCATCGACTTTAGCTTGTGGCAGGGATCTGAGCTGCCGTTGACGTCGTGATGATACGGATCTTAATCAAGTGAGTCGTCGCCTGTGCCTTCCCTGCGGCTTTACCTTCCATCGCAGATAAGTTTAATTAAATCTTTAGCATATTCTGCATTCCACATTCCACGGCTGCATTGCTGCCACGCCCACAACTGGCTTGACCGCGCATTGCAAGACTTTCAGCACTTTTCGTTGGCTGCAAGGCAGCAGAGGCAACAAAGTTTTCTGATTTCGATTTTTATTGCGGCCAAAAACCGAGCAACTATTCCCAATATGCAGCCATGGTGATTTGAGAGGGTGGCAGGAGCAGGCAGCATATGAAGGGAAGTGAGAGGGGCTCAAAGTGCAAGCAGGTGGAACTGGAGTTCGGTTTCTTGGCAACAATTTCATTTTGGAGGCACTCGACTGCTGCACCCACTCTTCCTCTTCCTGCCCCTTCTTCCGTCTCTACTCTCCACTTTCCACTCACATTTCCATTTCCATGCCAACTCTTGACTTTCCACCTGGCCGAATGTTTTGATTTTGGTTCTAACTGCACCTGGAATTCCACACGCAAACAGCAGAAGGTGGAAAGCAGCAGCAAGAGGGGCGAAGGGAGAGTCAACTGAACCACTTGAACCACAAAATCCACACAAACATTTCTGCAACGCAAAACTTTTTCCTATTTTCCTCCTCCTCCTTCTCCCCTCTGCATAATTTAAAAAGTGGAAAGCACACAAAATATTAACACGAATTTATTAAAAGACCAGTCGAAGCAACTCGTGTGACTTTTAATCAGCAGAGGATACACCACCTGCCACTCCCCCCACACTCGCCCTCCTCCTCTTCTCCACAAGCTCCGATGTGCGTTTCTGTAAGCTGTTAATCTTTTTTCAACTTTGTAATTACTTTTGCAGGCAGAAACTTTCTTTGAGCAGCACATTCACGAATTATTTTTGAAACAAACAACAAAGCCACTCAACCACAGCACCACACACTCCCCTCTCTCCACACGCCACACACCACACACAGTGTCACCAACCACTCGACTCCTGTCCGAAAACTCAACTAAATCACTTTCTATTCAACAGGACGCAGCTGCTGGCCAGCCGGACAACCAGTCGAGCAGACGACACAAAAAGGCCACCAGGACAAGCTAGCCAGGCTGGACACATGCTCGATACTAGCAACTGCCACTGGCACTGGGCGAGACGTTGCCAACGTGACGAGCTAAGCCACCAGCAGGAGTAGCAGTTGGTCAAGAAAGAAGCAGCCACAGAAGAGGGTAGAAGCTGGCCAATAAAAAAGCTAACGAAATTCGTACAGAGTCAGAGTCAGATGCGAAAATGCTGATGGCGCTTGCAGTCGACAGCCGAATTCAGCAACAACAACAACAACTGCAACAACAACAACAACAGCAACAGACGCAACCGCAACAAAAACAAAACTGGAAAAGTTGAGCAGGGACAGAGGCTGCAGCGGCTGAAAAGTTCCAAAATTTACCAGACACAAATTTCGTAGAGCTCTGCTCGGCGTCGCTCGTCGCTTTGTGGTTGCATCCGGAACTGTTAGCAGCAGTTGCCATAGACGTAGCCGTTGCCGTAGCCGGAATTTGATTTTAACGCATCTTTTAGAGCCGCGTCGCCTGTTTGCCAACTGGCAGCAACTGCTAACTGGCAGCTGGCAACCAAATCAGAACTGAAAGGAAAAGTCTCGTCTGTGCCTGCGGAACGCTTCAATGGACACACATTGAAATTGGCTGCCACAAAGCCAGAGGGGAGCTCCACGCCCCCTGAAATGAGCGCCAATTGCGGCGTCACATGCACTGACAAGTTATTAACTGCACATATCCCAGGCAGATAAGCATCTCCCGCAAAATAACACCGACAAGAGCAGCGAGGAGGAGCTCCTACTGCTCATCATGGCCAACTGCAACAGCTGCTGCCTGCTGCTGCAGCTCCTCTGGACAGCGCTGCTCTCCTGGCAGTTGCCTCCGGTCAGCGGATATCTCAACATTTTCATCAGTCACCACGAAGTGATGAAGCTGATGGGTAAGTCTATACATATGAGCCCCATATTTGGGGGTAGCGCAATCTCATTTCGATTTGAAAATAATCGAGAGTAGGGACGTCAGAGCTCCGCCCCACTGATATGATTAATAGCTGAATGGCAAAGTGCGACAGGACAAATTCATTGCTCCTCGGCAGGAGAAACAAACAAAACAAGTTGAGGCGGGGGCTAAGGCACAGACCACGTCGCAGTCATTAATAGTTCCGAAATAATTGTTGACCGTGACGACGACGAGGACGACGACGATATAGATGAAGAGGAAGAGGAAGAGGAATGCGCGGGGTTGGACGACCACAAAAGTTACGCGAAAACACGGAAGAAAACAAATCCACACAAATCGATTTCCGGCCGTAGACGGAGCCACCCTCGCACCTTTGCCACCCTGTTGACAGCTGCAAGTAGTCCGCCTCCTGCTCTCGCCTAGTTGGCCCACTCTCACCCCTCCCCTTTCTCTGCTAACGACTTCACAGTCCGGTGCGGCGCATTTTGTTGTTTGTTTTGCTGTTTTGCTCAACGCGAGGCCTCGTTATTGATGGCGCCAGCTATTCAAGTGGCTCCAGACCGACCTTGTGCCAGGCCCAATCCCAGCCCCATCCACAGCCCCAGCTCCTACCCAATCCATGTCCTCGAAAATAGTTACAGTAATAGGCATTCATTCGGCGTGCCAAGGCGGAATGACGTCGTGTTGCTGCCTCTCGTTGATTAATGGTTCATGGCTCCAAAATGTGAGCCAAGGCGGTTCCTAGGACTCTCTTGCTCTGCCTCCGCCCTCCCTCTAGCCAAGAGTCCATCATTCATGCGTTAGCTGTGCACAGCATTTTCCGGCACTTAGCTGTAATTGGAGCAAAATGCTTCAATCTCATTATGCAGGCTCAATCGTACTCCCAGTCCTTGTCCCAGTCCACTCGCTGCTAATCGCCAAATCACGGCACTTCAATTAGTTGAACAGCATAAAAATAATCCACACAAGTGCCACACGGATCCGAGATTGATGAATGGCCAAAGAACTTTGAGCTGCAGCTGTCGTCCACGTCACTGGGTCAACTACTCCAGCTCCCCCTCTCCTCCTCCTCTCTCTTTCTCTCCCTTTATATCTACCATTCTCTAGTTCACTCTGAGATTGCATTAGAGTTCGCTGAGCCATGCGCTACTCGCTACTCGCCCTGGCAATTGACACTTCACAAAGCATGCGCTGGCCCCTCACCCCCTCACGTCTTTGAATGCAAATCGGATTTCATTAGCGACAGCTCAAAGAGTCTTCCACTTTGCTTGTTGCTCTGTGTAATTTCCTGTGCTATGCGCGATTCACATAGATTCCTTTTCTCACTCGCCTTTTCCTCATCTTCCACTCCGCCCCTTCCCCAGAGCTCGTTATGTTTTTAACGACCAGTTAACACCCCCTCCCTTATAATATTTGCCACCCTCTGGGCTTGTTTTCCATTTCAAAATTAACAAGCAGCATGAAATCAAACAAACTGACCCGCCCAGCTCGCTCCTCACTTCCGCCCCTCACTCCGACAACTGCGACATGCCATTGCATGATTTACTTTCAGGGCTCCTCATCTGCCCCTGCATATGTCTCTATGGCTATTTGTTCAAGTGGAATGTGTATGACGGCTGCATGGCCCAGCTCCATCTCCAATGCCCAGCCCCCGTTCCAGCTGCCGATTCTCTCCCTGTTTCAGTTCTTCGTCCCTTATTCAGCATACGCATTTCTCGAATAACTTCACTCCCTGGCAGTTCCTTCAGTGCGTGACTGTGATTGACGTGATGCATTCCCACAATAAAAATCGAGTACAGCGTTCGCTCTGCTATTTCAAACGCCGTCCTCTCCTCTTCCTCTTCCTCTCCCTGTTCCTCCGACTCGCAATCTGTAAGTTTGTTCCATACAGCGAGCTGTAAACATGAGTTAAACGATTTCTTTTCTGGCTGCTCCTAACTACAGCTATATATATATGTATATGTATATGTGTCTCGATTCGATGGAGAGACGACAACATTAAAATTAAATATTTTTTACGCTTTTGCTGAAGATTTTCCGCTCTGCCCTCCATTGCGTCGCGTCGTCCCAGCAACAAGCAATTTTCGACCCACAGTTGCCAGCGACACCAGCTCCATATACCAGTCGGGGAGGGTTGCCCCACCTCCCCCGTGCTGTGCAAGGGTGCGTAAAAATGCAATTTCAACAAGTTTCACTTTGATGTGCACATTTCTTGAGAGCGAACAGGAACCCAGGCCCGAACAGGACTTGTTTCTAGGTCTAGAGCACGGTCCCACCTTTTTGGCTAAAAATTTCCCTTTAAATTAAAAGTTAATGCAAAAGAAAATTATTTTTAATGAATAGAAAACAGCCCGAAAATCGCCGCATTAATAAAGCAACCCTCGACCTTTTACGCCCACTCTCTCTCTCTCTCTCTCTCAATAGAGCTGAGTCGATTCGACTTACTGCTGAGCAAGGCGAGAAAAGCAAAAAGAGAGGGCGTGAACAATTCTTAAACTGTGCCAATTAAACGTCGAGCTCGACTTTGATTCAAGGAGCGAAGGCGAAGGCTATTCTATAGAGAACTGAATTCATTGTAAAGGGATAAGCCCTGTCGAGGTGTCACCTAGACAGTGGAAGAGGGCAGAGAGGACAGATGAGATGATAATTTCAGGGAATGCACGCCGTTGCACTGCTCAGCTAATGACACTAATTATCCTCTTAATCTTTTATGCAAATTGTGTGATGCTATTGTCAAAGCCGAACCGGAGCCCTTCTGCCGATCCTTCCTCTCCCTCCATCCAGCTCCGTCTGCGGTTGCAGCGTCACGTGTGTGTGGCGAAGCCATTCAGACAATCGCAGGTATTATAATTATGGTGGAGAGCAGGGAGAAAAGAGGAACTATCTGGGACAAGGCACTGGGACGACTCCTGAACGAGCTAAAAACTTTGCAAAGCGACGGCAAAGTTGGCGCTGTGCAAGGCGCGTGATATGAAAGACGGCCAAAGTTCGACGGAACAAGACTTGGACCCTACCGTAACCAAGTCGGCTCTCCTTTTTATCTCCAGTTGCAGAACGAAGAGAATCTCACGAAATTTAAAGTTGTTTCAGGCAGTAGCTTAAATTCGCCCAGGAGGACAATCAAATAGCTGAAAGTCTCTTTGGGAGAGAATCACATTAGTATCCAATCAGAGCTGAATTAATTAAAGCAGCACAAGTGAATTTCCTCCCTCTTTCCCTTTGTGGCTGGACAAGGTGCACTTCCCACTCTGATAGCACCTTGTCTAACCTTTCGTCATTGTTTTCCTAGGACTCAGCTCGAGCTAAGTGACATTGTCCTTTTCGTGTGTTTGTGCATGTTTAATGTGAGCCACTTTGAGGTTATGTTTGTGTTTTTCGTTTCGTCTGTGGCGTATTTCCCAAAATGGATGAATAAAGAGGGATCAAAGTAGAGTCAATTGCAGCCCCTCTTCTCTCTCCTTACCTCTTCTGTTTTTCTGTGCAGTTTGCCAACGGAAACCGGAAAATGTAAAAGGAAAGTAGCACACTTTGGCTGCCTGGAGGATAGTCAGCGGGGTGCATAACAATTTCGAATTCAAAAACAAAATGAAACTGTGAAGGAAAACGGCGTACGAACTGGGGAAGTTCTTAGACGAGTAGTGAATAGAAGGAAGCTAACGAAAAATGTCTTTTCTTGTTCTATAATTGGATTTGAAATTGTTTTAAGAACGCAGAGAGCGCTGTTCCATCTCTCCTAAATGCACGCACATACGCGCTTCTATCCTTCTCCTCCGTCCCCTGCCTTTGCCTCCACCGGAAACGCAACACTCAACATCCGGCTCAGACGCATAGTCAAAAGATGAATGGCAAACTTAGGAGTAGGAAGAGGTGAGGAGGAGGGCTGGTGGTAGTCAAGTTAAGGAGAGTAAACAGCATTTGCGACTTTCAATGCAAAGCAAGGCCTGATCCCAGCAAGTAAATGATGCAACATAAGACGGGAGCTGAGACAGAGGCAGAGACAGCAATGAAAGCGGATGAAGAAATTTAATTTTACGTCTTTTTAACTTGAACAGCTCGTCCTTCACTGCCAATAGAGTGAGGCGTGGCGGCTTAGAGCTCCCAGGGTCGGGGTCAGAGATTAGGACGTTCCCGAAGCTAGTTAAAGTTACACAAAGCGAAGCATGATGATGAGTTGCTCGCTGTCTCGCCTGGTCTCGTCTCGAATCGAGTTAGACAACACTTGACACCTTTTAATATCTCGTCCCACCCCACGTGAATCCCTTCGTTCTCTCGGTCCCCTCGGGTGTCTGTCGCGCACCATTTGAAGCAGAAATCGAGAGCGAGAACCAATTGACGCCCTTTGCATTGTCGCCTGCTGGTGACGGATTCGATTTCGATTATTATTGTGTCTTGGTTTTTGTTTACCGAACTTCGCTCACCCACTGCCAACCTGCTTCCACCCCCTTGAATCGTCGAGGAAATCAATTTCCGTTGAAGTTGAAAGGTATATAGAGCGGGAGGGTAGAGCAAGAGAGCCATCAACTGCGAGGAAAGTAAACAGAGAATGCACAAAGTTTGCACAGCAGTAGAAAATCCCGGGAAGGGACTCGAAGGGAAACTGTAACAAAGCAAATTGTGAAATAAACTTTCTCTTTATAGCTGCAATGCATCGGAAACCTAATCTCATCTTCACTATGCTCTTTACTCTCATTCATAGGGCTGGAGGCGGATTTGTTCTACGTGCACGAGGGAGCCATTAACACATACGCGATGCACTTCACCGTTCCCGTCCCGGCAGATGTTCACGAGCTGGAGTTCTCCTGGCAGAGTCTCATCAGCTACCCGGTAAGCCACCTACCCACCTCTTCTACCCGACTTGAAAATTTGATTTGCACTCCATTAACTGGCCAACTCACTGACAGCTGCGCTATACAATCAGCATCGAGTACGCCACCGACCAGGACGCACTGGGCACACCCACGCTGAGCATTCCCCACAAGGGCATAGTGCCGCAGGAGATCGAGTCGTTCCTGGTGTACCTCCCGTGCACGGGAAACGTGAGCCTCCAACTGCCGGTCAATGTCAACATGGTGGTACAAGGACCTCCCCGGTTTAACGACACCCGACTCCACTTCAAGCGCAACAAGATCTGTGCCAAGGGTAAGCTCCCAATCCTCTGTCATTACCAATTGTCATTCGCTTATATCTCTCTTCCATTACCATAACTATTCCAGGCATCTCCCCAGAACCGAATCAGTCACCTGCGCCTGCCCACGCCCCCTCCCAGGGACCGGCTCTGATGAGCGCCGCGGCCTGTGCCTTGGGCCTAGTCCTGGCCGTAGGCCTCGTGGCTAGCATGATGTATGTTCGGGCTCGCAAGCAGCTACGCCAGGATTCGCTACAGTAAGTCTGATTGATTGGCACATCAATTTAATTATCTACCTAACTGTTAACCCTTAATTCTCATTTCATTCTCAGCACCAGCTTCACTACAGCGGGTTATGGCAGCCATCAGAACGTGTTTATCCGCCTTGATCCTCTCGGACGACCGCCGAGTGCCACAGGCTCCTATGCGACCATTGCCAGCCTCAACAAGTATCCAACGGAGACCAAAAAGTCCTGCAGCATATTCGACCGTAAGTTTTCCCCCTCTTCAAGAACCCCCTTCCTTTTTCATCGACCTTCGAACTATTCATTTCCCTACAGGCTTCCGCAGCTCACCCACGCCCACACCCTACGCCACCGCCCTGCTGCCCATGGGCGACCAGGCCGGCGAGACCATTTACTCGAAACCAGAATCGGTGTGTCCCTCGAGGATTTCCTACTACGCCTCCTCGCAGCTAACCCAGGTGAGTCCCAATCTCCATCTGATTCTGTGGCCACATGAATTACCTCCAAGGGGGTTGCAGCGAGCAACCAACTGCCCTCAGGTAAATCAATGCCTTTGATATGTTGCGACACGTGCCAGGCACAAATGGATATGAATCCCGTTGATGTTCGGTCGCTCGCTTGCTCGCTCGCTCGGTTGCCTAGGCCACCAGATCCACTCCATTGCCAATTTGTGGCACTCACCACACCAGACCAGACTGCTCCCAGATTGCTCCCAAGGCAGCAGCAACGTCTGCGTCCACATCCACATACAAATCCCGACTCGAGCCACCTTTCCACGTCGATAAAAATTAAATTCTAATTTATATTTACGAGCTGATAAAGCTCCCGAAGTGCGTTAAACTCGAAACAAGAGCCATTCATAAATATGGGACTCTCCTTTCCAACCACCAGGGTGCCAATCTGCCAGGCTGCCACGCTGCCAGCTCTAGTTGTGTTCAGTGGGGTTGTTTAGGGTTGGGGCAAGTTTTGCCTGGCGCTCCCGTAGCCCGTGCTGCGAGCCCCACACACACTCAAAGCAGACGAGAATTATGTAGATACGCGTTTATATGTGTGAGCAAAGAGTAGCTGTGGAGAAGCGTGAGAGTCTGTTTAGATAAGCGGAAGGTGCTGCCGACTGTGCTTACTCGTCCCTTTGTTTTTCTTCCAGTTGAGCTATTCGCTGGGTGCAAATTAGGGAACTAAATTTAAACTAACCAAAAGCCGCAGATGAATCCCTAAGAGGCAGCTATCAAACCTTAAGAATTATCTATTACGAGTCCCCTCGAATTAATTTTACGAGACCCCACAAAACTTTTTTCCACATTTCTCTTTACCTCCCTTCCTTCCTCGGAATCTCTTTTTATGTATTCTGTTCTGGGAATCCCTCTGACATTTCAACTTCTTGGCCTTGGCAAATCTGTCGCAAATTAGAATAAATTATTTAGCAGCTTCTTCTTTTCCATTTCTCTGACGAAATCAAGCAGCGTTTACATTTTTCCTAGACAACAAACTGTGGCACCTCCTCCCTCACTCTGTCGCTATTCTCATGATTGTTTGGGCCATTTTCGTCACCATCTCGAGTCGCAATTTCCATCGACGCATAATTAAATATTCAATTTCCATGGAGACTCCTTTGGATTTTTATTTGCTGCTTATTCCTCAACATTCCTCCAACGGTTCCTGGCCTCAGCTATTTGGCCAAACGATTTCTGTTTGTTTAGACTTCAATTTCATCCTCATTATGGCAACCGTTTCGAGCCATTTGGCTGGGGAGCAGCTCGGCACTCGGCACTCGGCACTCGGCACTCGCCTCACACACACGTACTCATTCGCTCACATGGATATCTGGCATATCTGGATGTCTGGGATAATGCACAGCACCAAGAGTCATATCCATTTGCGGCTATCTGCTGCTCAGGGTGAGGGCGAGGAATTAAGTGAATTTATACAAAAGTGGAGCCCCAAAATTGCATATGGCTCTTGTGTGTGTAGAGCGGGGGCTGTGGGTGAAGGGAGTGTTTGCCATAATTATTGCTGTTCTCTTGTTATATCCCCAAACCCACTCATACGAGTGTCTGGTGAAGCACTAGGCAAAGAGAATAGGCGGGTAGAGGGGGCTGGCGAGCTAGGAGCGACGCACTCATTTAGTCAAACAATTATATCCAAGTGCACACACACACACACACTGAAATGTTGTCGGCTCTGATCTGCTCACTTGTGTGGAAATATCTCATTTGTGTGGGGCTGCTTTGCCCACAACATGCCTCTCTCTACCCCACTCGCTCCCCACTTTCTGTGACTCCCTTTTGATTCTATTAAATCAGTCTATAAATGTTGGCCAAATTGCTTTAATGTTCAGCGAAAGTTTAGCTAACGACTGCGGGGACTAAGATACAACAATTACAGCTCAAGCCAAGGGGACGAAGGGTAAACAACAATAAAAACAGCAGCGAGAAGAAGAAGAAGCCAGACTACAGCTGCTGAAACATGACTTTGTGCTTGTTTAGAAACACTTGCAAAATATTATTGCAACAGCAACAACAAAGGCCTTCAATATGGGAGGGTGAAGCGAGGGGGAAAGGGAACCACTGACTGCGGGGAGTCAAAGTAGGAGCTCGCTAGCAGCTAGGATAGCTGCACACGCAGCAACAAACATAGAAAGGCATTAGGATATTGGATCAGGACTAAGCTCAAGTGGTTTAGGGAAGAGGGATCAAAGAGAGAAAGAGAGGGAGAGGGAGGGAGAGAGGCATAAGTGGCTGCTGCGGTTGAAGATGTCGAGAACAAGCACCAGAAGCGAATGGGTTAACTAGAAGGCAGCAACAGAGTCAGCTCCACCTCCAGCTCCACCTCCAAGCCCCGCCACGCATTCGAATGGCATCATTTGAGGGAGGCAAAGTTGTAAAAGTGCGTGAGGCAGGGAAGCGGAAGATAGGAGAAGCAGCACAAAGTTGGAAATTAATTTCCATGGAGCACGCCCTGGCTAGAGTATTTTATGGAGATTACGAGAGAGATTCGTGCAACCTGAACAGGTGCTAATTAAAAATGTTGTCGTCGCCCCATTAAAGAAATTTGTAAATCAACCTGCAAATGACGCGCGCAGCATGCGAAAAGCTAAGCCTAGACACAAGCCAAACGGTGGAAAGGATAGGGCATGGCTGTGTCCCCTATGGGGCAAGTGGAGCCACTGGGGGTGCGGCACGTACGCCGTTAATGGATTTTTCACTGTTGTTCTTTTGATTAAAACGCATTATTTACATTTGCGACAAAGTCAGAAGGGGAGGGAGGGGTGTATAGGGGATAATTTAATGTGCGACGAGGCTTAAGTCTAGCCAGGTGAGGGGAAATAGAACAGCGGGGGGTGAGAGAACGGCGCTCGGCAAAGGTTGACAAATTGCGCAACTGTCAGTTGAATTTAGTTTGGTTTTTGCATTCAGATCTCGCTGGGGCTTTCTGCATTTGTTTCTTTTTGCTTAATCTGCCTGTGCTGCTGGCCGGACAGGTTTTAGGATCTGCTGGTGCAGTTCCTGTCAGGCCAAAGTGCCAAAGTGCCAAACTATGGCGGATGCTTGTGTCTGCCATTACACTATTGATTGCTTCCTGTCAGCCGCAGAGCGAGACAAACGGAAGTCGCCAGCGGATGTTGCCTTTGTTGCCTGTGTGTTACCCAGTTATCCTGTTATCCTCCTGTCGTGCTGTCCTCCGGTCGCGCCTGGTCAGGCTGACCGACATGGGCTTTTGTGTGGAATTTGGCAGCGCTTCACATAAGCAGCTAACAGTGAACCTTCCGCCCTTGTGGCATTCGATGCGAGATCCGTGGAATACCGTGAACCCGCGGTTTTAACACCCTTCACTTCGCTCATGGCTGCTGTGTGTATGGGGGCGTGTGAGTGTGTGTGTGTATGTGTGTTTGCCATTGATTTCATTGCGGTCAAGAATCATAGAAGCTGTCGTGGGGGGTTCAGGGAGGAGGTCATTAAACGCACTGTTGTTCGTCTGCTGACAGCCATGAGTGGAGCGCAGGGGGGGCCCTGAGCACTCAACGGGAATGACAATTGTAATGAGCCAGGGGCCATGATTAGCAAACTGTAATTGAAGACAAGAGTCAATAAACTGAATCGAAATGGGGTCAAAACTTTAATCATTCGATACAATTTCAAGTGTTTGAGCAGCTCTTCCGCTGGCTGCCAGGGCAAACTCAATTAGGAAAATAATAATAAATGGAAAGCGAATGGGGGGGGGGGCAGGCAATTAAAAAAAATTAAGTAAAGGAAAGTAAAGAAAAATAAACTCCTCAACTCTTGTATCGATTAAAGCGAGGCCAATCGAAATGCGATTATGGCTGACATGTAATCATTCAATATTCATGAGTGTACTCACATCCAATCGCTACACGAATGGATACCCCATCAATCAATTCTGAATTGCCGTTGAGTCACATTACGTGCATACGAAATACTCACGAAACTAATTGCATCAAAGTGGCCGAAGCGAGGAAATTCGAGTGGACTCCAAACCGGATGTGCAACAAATTGTATTATGGCAGCCGCTGAAGCGGATACCCAATCAACGAACTGCGATATATCGAGTATGTGTATATGTATAAGCACTCGTATATCGTAATGGAGCGCGCGAATTGGTCAAATTGGTTGTTAATCATATGAATTCAAGTTGATTGCGCACAATAGACAGAGTTTAACTTGCAAAAATGGAGGCGCAGCCAACTTAACAAGTTTGGGAATGTTTATTCGGCGTTGCCAGATGGCTTGACTCGAGCTTTTAAGTAAAAGTCTAAGGATAAAATAAATACCAATCCATTCATAAATCATTACTATCACTATTATTAAATGTATAATCATTCGAGTCATTAACCTGCGATTCGAACCCTGACCCTCTCTAATGTAGCATAGGCAAATTGTGCAACTACAAATTGTTAATTATTATAAATAGTGTGCAATTTACTTTAGGCATAAATTACAAATTGAAATTTAAGTGCGTGTGCGGGCTCCATGGCGACACGGGCCGCGTGTTACCTGGCGACACCTGGTGACTAATTTATGTTCATTAAGCAGGCGTTAAGTCGCCTTGAGAGCAGCTGCCGTTATACTCATTTGCATACATTTTAGAGGTTGAGAGGGCGGCTGGAAGGCTAGGCGATTGCCAAAAGCGGCTCACAACATACACATGGAAAGAGACAAGTGCAGCAAGAGAGAGAGAGAGAGAAGGTGACAAACCAAAATGTGTAGTTGGTGTAATTTTGGGGTCGTTGGAGCTGCTGCTGCTCTTGGCCAGATTAATATGCAAATTCATGTAGCTAGCGAAAGGTGCAAGCGAAAGTGAGAGATAGAGAAGCGGAGGAGGAGTTGGAGCTTTAAGAGATTACGCGCTTGTAGCATGTACAGCAAGTGGCAAGTGGCAAGTGGTGTGCGGCGTGGGCCATGGGGCGTGTGGCAACGGGGCAGACACAAAAAATCAATTT